ATATTTTGCTAACAGACAGACAGCGGTGACTCTGATAGGTAACAGCACCATTTTGTTAAGGATGCAACATGTGGAACTCAATAGTAGGTGATGTTGGGAAAAACTCAGCTTTCACGTTCATCTTTTTAGCTCAACGTTGTAAAACTGACTGAATTTTAGCTATTTTGAGGTTTGCTAAAGTTGCTTAGCTGTTATCGCTCTAAATTCTGCAAAATGGAGCTAATCAACAAAAATCTGAAATATTAGAAATTAACTTTTAAATGCATTTTCTATGACTGATGAATATGTTGGTTAAAGAATATTACAGTGAATTTTTCACATTAACTGTACACAGCGATGCACAGTTAATAGATCTGTGTTCATGATGAGCCTGTGCTGCAGTGATTTCTGACTGTCGCATCATATTTGTGAACTGAGGTGTACCTCCTCTCCTATAGTTTGCTGATGTTTCACCAGCGATACAGTTTTTACAGCCGCTCACTTCAGTTTGCCTCAGCACAAATCTTTAAACTTCATGCAGTCGGGGCTTTTTGCTTCCCAACAGCACTTTAGAAAAGACTTGCAAAACCACACAACCAAAAACTGAAAGCATGTGAGGTCAACAAAAAAGACATTTGTAATTGTCACATGACTTTAAGAAAGGGGGTATTAATAAATGTGTGATTGTGTGTGTTCATGAAGCATTCACACTATTTTGATCCATTTTTCTTCTGTACGTTTTCTCGGTATCTTTCTCGTTCCACAATTTTGTGCTATTTCGACAAATCATAAATTAAAACATTCATCTCTTTGAGGACAATCCTGCTATAACTTTTAGTATTGGTGCAGCTTTAGCTTTTTGAAACATTTAGCTTTTTCTGCCATTTTTTTCTCATAGAAAATTAATTGAGCTCATTTTACATCCTTCAAATCTTTAGATCTGTTTACAACTTTTACTGCTCCTTTCACATTTTGTTCAGGTTCAGCTTCTTTCAGCTTCCATTTGCAAATTTAAACTTTTTTCTGCTACTTTCAGCTGTTTTTTTTTTTTGTTTTGTGCTCCTTTCAGATTCTTTCTGTTAACAACATTTTTTTTATGCTTCTTCTTACTCCTTTCTGATCATTTCAGTTATTGTGCTCCTTTCAGCTTATTTATGCAAGTTTCAACTTTTTCTGCTATTTTAGCTACTATTTAGCTGTTTCATGCCAATTTCAACTTTTTAGGATAATTCCATATTTTTTACACTCAATTTAACTTTTTTTTCAGCTTAATTCAAGAAAACTGTATTCTCTCCAATTCCTTCTGGTAATTTAAGCTCCTTTCAGCTTTTTTCTTTCAGCTTTTTCTGCTCTTTCAGCTACTACTTAGCTCTTTTGATGTTAGTTTTAGCTTTTTCAACTAATTCCACATTGTTTAGCTCATTTCAGATTTTCCACTTCCTTCTGGTAGTTTGAACTTCTTTCTGCCTTTTCAGCTACTTTTGGTAATTTCAGCCTTTTTTTTTTTTTTTTGCTAATTTCCTCATTTTTGTGCTCATTTCTGTTTATTTAAACCTAATTCAGCAAATGTGTTCTTTCTGCTTTTTTTCTGCCTTTTTTTTGTTGTTATTGCTAATTTAGGCTTGTTCTTCCATTTTTGCTACATTTCAGCATTTTTTAAGCTAATTTCAGTTCTGTTCTTCAGCAAGTTCTTCTGCATTCACACTGCATTTTTGCAGGAAATGCAATTTCTCTAGTTTAATTTATGATTCAGCTGCAGCAGTCTGATAGTGATAACAACAACAAAAAAAAGTGTTCTGAATTGATTTTCAACCTTGAGCCATTTAGCTGTGAATGCTCTTTTCTCGTCAGAACAATTAATATTCAGCGATCACAATCTGCATGTCCTTGCTCACAAAGACATAAGCAATCGTCACAATAACATAAAATTTGGATCACAGTATTTTGGCTCAACCTTCAGGACTAATGAAATGTTTTACTGCAGCTGCTGCGCTCAGCAGGGTTTAGGCTCTCACGCTGTAATAACAGTTTTAAAATGCTGCACTCCACAGCTGAAAATAAACGTTCACTCTGTACTTCTCCATCCTTCCTTTGCCTTTATTCTTCCTTCCTCTTCCCTCTCTCTCCAGAAAGCTGACTGTCTGTGGCTATAAAGCTTAACTAAGTGGTAAATTACTCCCCTCCCTGTCCCTCCTCATGCTTGCTTCTTGAACTGGGAGGTTATTTTCATGCTGTATCGCCTCTCAGCAGCCATGAGCCCCAGCCTTTCCTCATGTGGAGGGAGACGGCAATTTGCAGAACTCGTCTCACGCTCTGCATCTGCACCTCCACCTCCTGATACGTCCAAGTGGCAAAAGGGGCAGCATCACTTTAGACAAAGACTCTTCATCATGTTATGCAGCTGATTTGTGCGATTGGATTGGAGCGGTTAACTGGAAAAGAGCATTTTTTAGGAAGTAGGTGAGAAATAAAACTAATAGAGGTAAAAGTACTCATTGTAATGTCATGAAGACTGTCAAAAAATATTCATAAAGGAACAAAATCTGCAGGATATAGTTCTCACATCAGTGACCGCATGTTCCCAAATAAAAGAGTGAGCAAAATGTGTGCACATTTGTCAACTACGTTTGTTTACCTACAAAAGCAATCAGCGACTGAAAACAGGTGGCAACGGTGTCATTTGGAATGAAGGTCCTACACAGACTACAGCCAACCGTTTATGGAGCTAAATTAGTCTTTTATGCGTTGTGTCATACACATTTGTGAATTATGTTGTTATTGTATGAGTTTGTGAATCTTTTTGAGACTGATTTAGCTCCATACTGGCTCATCACACAACTCAAGCTTCTGTTTGAGAATTTGTTATAAATCTTATTATATTATGGCTGAGAACATCTTTCTGTAAAGTGTGCACAAAACATTCTCGTCTCGCCGACTCGCAGTGCCTCACTGGCGTTGACGCCATGAGAACATGCCCGAAACCTTCTCCAGCTGGAGGTCGGCTAGCTGACAGCCATGGACCCATGCTTCTGACTGCAGCTGCTATGAGGGAACGCCTGCTGGACTCTGAAACCGACTAAAAATCTTCTCGTGTCCTCACTGTAGCTTATTATGAGTGTGTACCTGCAGATATCAATATGTCTGGAAAATTAATTAAATTCTCAAACACCATTTGAAACAGTTCAAAAAAACCTCTAATTGTGTGAATTCAGTATGAAGCATTCACACTGTGATCATTTTTTCTTTTGTACATTTTTTAGCATCTTTCTCGTTCGACACTTTTTGTGCCGTTTCAACAAATCATAAATCAAAACGTTCTCATTCAGGAGAGGGGTGCTATATGACTGTATTGGTGTAACTAGCTTTTTGAAATATTTAGCCTTTTCTGCCATTTTTTCCTATATATGAATTGAGCTCATTCAAATCTTTAGCTCTGTTCACAACCTTTTACTGCTCCTTTCACATTTTGTTGTGGTTCAGCTTCTTTCGGCTTCCTTGTGCAAATTGAAACTTTTTTTCAGGTACATTTAGCTTTTTTTTTTTTAGCTGTTTTGTGCTTCTTTCAGATTCTTTCTGCTAACTACATGTTTTGTGCTTCTTCGTTCCAATTTCAGCTTGTTCTGCTACTTTCAGCAGCAAGTTTGCTTTTTCTGCTATTTAGCTGTTTTGATGCCAATTTTAGCATTTTCAGCTAATTCCACTTTTGTTGCACACACTCATTTAAACTTTTCAGCCTAATTAAGCAAAAGTGTGCTCTCTCCACTTCCTTCTGGTAATTTAAGCTTATTTCTGCTTTTTAGCTACATTTCAGTTGTTTTATGGAAATTTCAGCTTTTTTCAGGTAATTTCCACTTTTTTGTGCTCATTTCAGCCTAATTGGGCAAATATGTTCTTTCTGCTTTCTTAAGCTTGTTCTACCTTTTCAGAGTTCTTTTTTAGCATATTTGATCTAATTTCATCTATTTTCAGATTTTGTTTTTCATTGTAATTTCTGCTACCTTCAACCTAATTAAATTATTTCTGCTGATTTCAACTCCTTTCAGCTTACTTCTGCTAGTTTCAGTTATTTCGGCTACTTAGCTGTTTAAATGCTAATAGCTTTTTCAATTAATTCCATGTTTTTTTTGCACTGATCTTAACTTTTGTTCTTTCTGCTGTCTCCTGCTGATTTACACGTTCTTCCATTTCAGCTACACTTCAGCATGTTTTGAGCCAATTTCAGCTGTTTTTAGCTACTTTCAGCAAGTTCTGCAATAAGCACTGCAGTTTCGCAGGAAATGCATTCTTCTAGTTTTTAGTTTAGTTTGGAATCAGTACCTTTAAATGAATTACATTTATGATGGAATATAAACTGGTGAGTTTAGAAAACCATGTGTGCATGAAATCAACATTTTGCTTTGCTCAGACAGTCTGGTTTTATTGTCAACCAAGACGTTTACATACATAGGTGATATAAATATCTGCAACTGTGTAAATTGTTTTGTGAGCTTTAGAGGCTTCAGAGATGTTTTGAATGACGTTAGTTTTCATGTTAGCCTTAATTGGGTTTTGCATATTATTCACTTTCCAGCTATTCAAAAATTTAAATGTGTGACAATAATTGTTTAGCAATGTTTTTGTAATGACTGCATCTCCCATCATTTCTTAACATAATCTTAAACTTTGGCATTAAATCTGTCAGGTTAAATATTCCTTCAAGGAATCCTAGGCTTTAAATATTAATATTTAATTGTTTTTAATCTGAAAAATGTGGTTTGATCAGCAAAGATTGTGCTTTTCTTGACTCCTAACCATTCAAACACATTTTGTGTATTTCTAGCAGCTTGTTGAACCATAATTTCACAAATCAGCTTCCATGATGTGTGAATAAAGATGTGAAAATCCATTTAACCTTGAAGAACGACCTCGTGCGTTGTTCAACTCGTCACAAATCACCATGAATACTTGATGACAGCAAACATCCCAATACTCTGCTGCCATCTAGTGAGATGCACTTAAAACTGTGACGAAATCCAGTCTGATGATGTTTGCCAGAAATATTTATTTCAAGCCTCCAAATATCTTAGTTAGTTTTGCCTACAATTCTCTTTTTCGCAATCATCATCTTTTACAGTCTGCTTCTATAACTACACTCATTTACACACAGATCAAATTGTAGCAAAATCTAAAAAAAATGCCCACCTGCATCTGTCACTTTACAATATTTTTACATTAGATTTTAAGTTGCTTATCTTGACAGCATACAATTAAATGGCAATATAATACATTGTCAATTACATTTCTGCTTCACAAGATGTATAAAGCATTAAAAAAAAAACATGCGAAAACATTTCTTGACAGTAAAAATATTTGAACTTTCACTTTAAAATCTTTGCAATGAAGCTAGTTAAGTACGATGAGGCAGCTTCATCTGAGTAGCATTTACATCATAAAACTGCTGTCCATATAGCATTACACAGTGATACTCGTATAGTAAAATATGACATTAAAATACAGCTTCATCGGGTCAATAATCACTCAAAACCACATTCGGATCATCGGTTCCAATTTGTGGTTTGACTCAAATAAATAAGTGTACGTTTAAAGGTAAGAGATGATACACAAGACAACAAAAATAAAAACGTTTTAAGGTCAGGTTAAAGGTTTCCAGTGAGGGCTGAGTCCATAAGGTCGTCATCCTCGTTCCTCATATAGATCGGACTGGAGCGGGACGGACGATCCGAGCCAAGCATGGAAAGCGACGAATCTGAAGCTGAGATTGGAGACCGTGACCAACTGTCTGCTTTTATCATATGAGACGAAGAGCCCATGGACATGGAGGACTTCTTTTTCTCCTTCTCCCTGTCTCGCTCTCTGTCTCTGTCCCTCTCTCGATCCTTCTCTTTCAGCTTCTTCTTCTCTTTCTTGTGCTTCTTGTGCTTCTCGCCAGAGCTGAGTGGGATGGAGCTCATATAGTCTTGAGGGGGAAGGGGGCGCACGGTCTGGTCGTCGTCCGAACTGGGGCTGTTCTGGTGAGACTTCTCAGCTACCGAGCTGCTGCCCGATTCGCTCTCGCTGTCGTGGTTGAGAGGAGTGTACCCCGGCGAGCGGCTGTGGCTGGGCGAGGAGCGGTCGTGTTTCGGAGTGGAGCCGCTGAAGAGGGGCGAAGCTTTGAGACTAGAAATCTGTGGACGCATCGACTCGCCGGATCCTTCACTAGTTTTCTGAAGAGTCACTTTAGCCTTGATGCTCGGTGAGCCACTATCTGGTTTGCTAATAATAATTTTGGCCAGAGTGGTTCCTCCGACCCCACCCGTTTTTGATTCCATTATTTTTTTATCTCCACTACTGCTGCCCGAAACCATCACCTTAGATTTTGCCTCTTTATCAGACTTTTCACGCTTATAATCGCCACTTTGGGAGGACGAGGGGTGTTTGGAAGAGCCCATGTTTGAAGGTCCGCTGGGAACATTTCCAGGAGCACCAGGCGTTGAGGCCATACCAGCTCCGCCAACTGGTGGCCCGACCTCACAACCATCCTCCCCAACTCCCCCTCCACCTACACTTTTCAGTTTGTCTATGACGGCGGTTAGCGAGGGTTTTTTGTTACGACTGGGAGATTTGCCTTTGGAGTTGGGGTTATTTGCATTGTTCTGACCAGGCCCGCCACCACCGCTTCCTTCACCTCCACTACCACCTCCAGTCCCTCCGCTTCCACCTCCGCTGTTCCCATACTGTGACTGGGAACCTCCCGAGAAGCTCATGGAACCTGAAGATGAACTGGAGGATGAAGAGGATGTGGAACCTGAGGAAGTGCTCCCACCACCTGGCTTTTGGGAGCCAATATTTCCACCAGAGGAAGACTTGGACCCACCAGAGCTTCCACCCCCAGAACCTATTGGAGACTTAGCCTTGGAGGAAGGAGGGGTTCCTGGAACCTGAGATTGCTGCATTTTCATTGGAGAGGACAATTTGTCACCAGAGCCACTGGAGCGGGAATGAGAGGGAGAAATGTTGGGCTTAATGTTGGGATTCATAAGTGACCCAGGAGGCTTGCCTCCTTGAGGTTTAATTTTATTGCTACTTCCCATTCCACCTCCAGTACCTCCAGGTCCAGACAACCCATGTTTAGTGATTGGAGAAGATCCAGGTTTGCCGACACCCATCCCTTGAGACGAACCTTTCAACTGGGATGTCCCCCCTCCAACTCCTGGCTTGGAGTTGTTGCCTTGTGACATGGAGCCTTCTTTGGACTTTATCTTCCCAGAGGAAGATGAGTGTGAATGATGGCTTTTGCTGCTGCTGCTTGCTCCACCTGTGCCTCCTGTACTGCTTGTGGCTGAGCTGCTGGAGGTGTAGCCACTATGGGAGGATGTCTTTCCCCCAGTGATAGTCCCTTTTTGGATCTGAATGGTGATTTTAGGAATTGGAGGTGTGGCACCTCCAGGGGGAGTTTGTGAGCGTCCTGAACTACCGGGTGACTTGGAACCTCCACCACTCACATTTCCTCCAGAGCCCAAACCCCCACTAGGTGGTGTGTAGGGTCGCCCTCCTGAGCTGTGGGACGGGGATTTACCATCAGGATCAAGCTTTTTACGTTTCGGCGGCTTATCTTTGGACTTTCCTTCGCTGGATGGGGTCCTGCTTCGCTTTACCTGCTGTTTGCTCTCTGTTGAGCTGCTGCCCATTCCCATCCCTGAAGTGCTACCTCCACTGCCCCCATTCTCATCCTTTGGACGCACAAGTCCTTGTTTAACTTTGAGTTCTGCATTTTTAAAATCGGTGCATGCAGTGCTAAGCCCCATCATGAGGGGGCTCTGGGATTCTAGACCATGAGTGTCTCCCAAGTCAGGTGCTTGTCCCAGAAGTGGTTTACCACCACCACTGTTGCCTCCATAAACTATCCCCATATCAAAAGGGTCTTTCAGTGAGGCCTCTGGAGTATTCTGTCCATGTGGAGTAGGATTCTGGGGAGTTCCTGCTGGAGTATTTTGCTGACTACTTCCCCCAAACCCTTTGCCTAGGTCCATGTCTTCATCTGCACTTGGAGAGCTTTCGTTAAAGGAGAGAAGGTCAGGGTTGAAGTCAGATGCATCAGGAAAGAAATTATTGGAAGAAGAGTCACTGTTGGGAGTGGCAGCAGTTGCAGTTGCCTCAGCAATCAGGTCAGCTGCATCTGTAAAAGGATTTTCATTGCTGTTAGTATTAAAAATGTCTGCCGAGTCAAACACTGCACTACCCTGACCAGAGCTGGAGGAGTCACGGATTGGAGTACCGAGTGGACCTCCATCGTCCACACCACTGCCAATGGGGTGCTGCCCATGGCTCCCGCTGCTGCCTTTGCCAGCTTGCTCAGGTAAATCCTGTAAGATTTCTGTGATATCAGGTCCAATGCTGTCAGAGCTGGGGAGGCGGACAATACGAGGCGGTATCGTACCAGGAGGTTGCTGTTGCTGAGACTGGACATGAGACGGTGGATAAGGCATGCTGGAGCTTGGGGGTGGTGTTCCACACTGGCTGGGAGCTGGAGTGATGCTATGGGGCGTTTCAAGGCCGTCACTGGTTAGGTTAACGTCAAAGATAGAATTCTGAGATGCGTCCACATCCATAGAGAGGAGCTCACGATGGAAATCGTCCTCCTGAGTTACCGAGTGGTGCTGGGACATGGATGCTTGTGATTTCATACACAAACCACCACTTACGCCTGCTCCAGGCAATACTCCGCTCTTTTCAGGTCCCCGGGGACGTTTCTTCTTTCCTTTGGAATTCCCTCCAGAACAGGAATTACCCGTGCCATCAGTTCGTGGAGAGCCAGACGAAGAATTTTGCCTCTCTAACGGACTAGAGCTGTACAAAGCAGCAAAATCTTGTGCTGGATTGTCTTTCAGCAAATTCATCAACATGGGATGGTTCTTTGTATTGCTGGCAGGAGAGGATGTTGGCGGTGGAGTTTGGTGGGGCTGTGGTGCATTCTGGGAGTTGGGACTAGACCCAACATTTCCAGTTATCTGTAACAGACTTGTCAGTATGGGATTCTGAGTGACTTTACTGTAATCATCTGTATGACCTTGACTTTGTTGTTGTTGCTGCAACTGCTGCTGACCCGCCACCCCTCCAGGAGTTAAGCACTCTACTCCTTGAGATTGTCTTTCTGCACGGGGAATTCCAAACAGAGTAGTAATTGGACCTGCAAAATTAGGTCCCCCAGGTGGTCCTCCCCCAGTAGGTGTGCTGTTTCCTGTAATCCCAGGCAGTCCAATGGGGTTAGTTCCATCGCCTGTTGCCATGTTATAGGTAGGACTACCAGAAGGTGGCGGGTTATTCTTCACCATGGTTTCCACCGTTTGTGCTATCAGCAAAAGAGCTGGAGTATCTGCCTGAATAGTTTCAGCTTTCCTTCGAATAGCTCGCATGGTAACAGGAATGGACATGCATCTGCATGGGTGAGAGAACAATTACCACATGCACAAATGCTGTTCATATGGATACATTTAAAAAGAAATTTAAAAGTCTCACCTCTGGACAACCTTGGTTATGAAATCATCCGTACAGATCAAAGCATCTGATGGTCCTTTATACAACTTGCAAATCACTTGTCTGGAGTCAATCACCTCCATCACAACTAGAGGAAATTAAATAGAAGAGAGGACTTCAGAGTGTATAAATCGCATGACTGGCAAATATATACAAAAACCTGCGACTTTTATGCAGGAAAATGCAGCAATAAGTCTGACACTTCTGTTCAATTTATAATTGATATTGATAAAAGCAACAGATAACAAGCAAATAATCATTAGGTTCACCACTGATCATTCTTAAACAAATTACTGCATGCACTTGTATAAATGGATGCAAGCTCTATGAGCAAAACAATGAAGGGGCAACTGCAGACAAAAGAAAGAACAAATCCAGACACTAAAGAAAATCTTTTAAATGGCTTTTTCATAATAATTTGCCTCAGGACAGGAGGTATTTAAACTGTTAAGATTATTCTAGGTGTTACTACATGCAACACACAGATGTTTGAGTTATAGTAATGTTAAATGGCAGAGTCACTATCAAAACCATAAAAGCTATTTGTGTAACATTGATTTTGACTTACAATTTTAATTTAAGTTGAACTCAAAAATAAATAAATGGATCATCTTTTGCTTAACTATACACTTAAGCATTCAAATCAAACAATACTAGGTGTACATTGAAAAGTTAATACAATATAAAAATAACATTCTCAGTTTAAAATGTAAATAGAAAGTTTCCACATTATTTTTTTTAAAGCATTCATAGCTGAAGTGCAAATTATTTCTGTTCTTTTCCACAACACTTCTTATATTTTAAATAACTTTTCCATGGTTTTTCAGAATAAAGCAAATTATATAGCATTTTTATGATTAAATTTAGTGTTAGGAAGAAAAAAAATGCAACTAAAGTTGCCAGGTAAAAAAAAAAAAAAGAAAAAAAAAGAAGAGAATTTCAGTTTTACTAAAGGGTTATAAAAACTTTTCTCCACTAAAGTTATTTATGAAAGCGGATACTCACCACAGACTAATGATTCGTTGACTGGATGCTGGAACGAGACGCTGAAACTTGAGTCGGTAAGTGGACAAACTTCAAACTGAAGAAGTCCTGCACTGTCTGAAAAACAAAAAAGGGACATTACACTTAACAAAAGTAATTTAAGACAACAGACACCCAGTTCAAGACTGTCAGACTTACCTTCTTTGACAGAGGTTCGTTTGACACAGCTGCCAATCAAGGTGTTGTACGCTGCCTGGTGGCGAATGATGTCCAACAAGAGTAGCACTTGTGCTGGGTGACGAAAGGGGATCTTGGACACCATTGCTCCTTGTAATGAATGACCATCTTGCACTGGGGCATCTCCATTCAGGAAGTAACAATGCTGCTGATCTGGCAAAATCTATATAAAAAAAATACAAAGTAGATGTTTTCCTGCAAAGTAACTTGGATGAATTAAAGAAAATGAACTGCTAACCTCTTTAAAAATTGACCAAAACAAAGTGCACATCATTAAATGCACATTTTCTAAATAGGTACGGAGGCAAAACAGGCAAGAAGAGACGAAAATGTAATTTTGACAAATAAAATTATCTTAAATTATAAGAAATCTTTTAACAAAAACATGAATAAATAGCGTGGACTGTATACATGCAGACCTAAACAAAAATAATAAAGTGATTTAAACACAAATGCAACGTCTGAGTGTGTTGTGTGCATCAGCTTACAGAATAAAAGTGCATGTTATGCGATGTTGGTGGCACACCGCCGCTCTCCTCCAGGAGCTGCAGCTGACCTTGGACAATCAGCTGGTAGAGAGGTGAGAGGCTAGGAGATGTCTCAAACACTGGGATCGCTGGAGAGGGAAAAAAGATTTAAACAAATATGCCCTTTTAAAGCAAATTTCTGACATGTGCAAAGTATTAACTCACAAGTAGCACTGCTTATCCTTTGAATAAAGGAGAGTGAGAAAGGCATGGGGCGGTTCATTTTGAGGAAGAAACATGCTGGCAGGTCCACACAGTTGGAGTTGGTCACATTGGAAAAGGAAGGTGTGCTGAAATTCAGAAATAATAATTATATATATAATCATAAACAGTCCACCATTACTGACAGTCATGCTAAAATACCGTATTTTTCGGACTATAAGCCACACTTAAAATCATTTAATTTTCTCAAAAATCGACAGTGAGCCTTATAATCCGGTGCGCCTTATAGTCCGAAAAATACGGTAACTAACAGTAAATCTATGACTTTTTACTTTAAATACCAAGTATCCTGACAAAGTGAGGTGTATTTTCTTACCCTTTGTTGTCAATTGGGTGGGATCCAGTGATGAGTGGTGCGATTGGGAGCTTGTACACAGCAGAAGTGGTTCCCTCGATTGTCACAGAGACACTAACGCCCAGAGAACTTGGCACTGCAAAGAGAAGTCCACACACAATACTGTCATAAAGCAAATTATATTACTAACTGTTGGAATGTCATTCTTCCTTTGTCTCAGCAATTCTTTATAAAATTACCATTGTTATCTGCTAAGTTGAGTTGCGAGTCTGTTTCCACCTCAAATATGTCATAAGGCGACACGTAGCACTGAAGAGAAACCAGATGGCCGCCGCTCCTGGCCGTCAACAAGCCCACACTCCCATGAAGAATAGTTTCAACTGTGTTAGCGTTTGTTGCTAACCTAGAAAACAGGTGAACAAAAATTTGCAAAGCAGATAACCAAACTGAAACTTTTACTTCTAATTAATAACTCAAGACAATTTAGGTAAGCATATATTTCAAGGGAAGTAATAGTTTTACTGATTTTCTTCATCAAAACTTATAAAATTAATGTAGCTACAGTCATATTTAAAATTCAGAAAACACTTTTCCACTTATTGATTAGCATCTCAAACATATTATCATGGTATTAAAGTCAGGAGGGACCGAGCTAACAATACTTTTAAATTGTGACCATTTACTTAACGGAAGTTCACAAAAACTGCATTATTAGCACAAGACATTACAGCCTCCTGTCAAGAAATAGTAGGAAAAACTTACAGGAATAAAAGAACGCTTCTGTAAACTTACCTGAACATGTGCATCATCTTGGTGAGATCAAGCTCCAGAGACTGCAGTGCTATATACATCTTTGTTTTCAGTTTACTGAAACATAGAAATTATTGTGATGTAAATAAACACACAATGTGGCATTTGTCAAACGGATCTTATCTTGGAATTAGGTCTCATCTTATTTTGTACAGTAGAAAGTATTTTTTCCAGGTTAGGTTGTACAGAAGTGTTCTCTTACAGGGTACAATATAATTCTGTGACAAAATATTTATAAACAAAACTGTTTAATTTGATTCAGTGCAATTTGATTCTGTCTGACAGCTTTAAATATTAATTTAGACTTTTCGGTGGTGAACTACCTTCGGCATTAACAAAAAAATATAGAAACTTAACTGTTAAAGTTAAATTAATTTTTATATATAATAATATGACCTTTTCTTAACCTTGATATACAACACTGGCAGATTTGACAGTAAAAAACAAACAAGTTGGAAGATTTTTTTCAGGAATCTGATGTATTTATAATGTTACCAAAAGAAGGCAATACTTTCTGTGATTATATTTAAGCTTGCCAAAATGTGGATAAACTGCAGTTGGAAAAAAATGTCTTCAACATCCCACTCTCTATTGTTCTTGCTTGACGTCTCATTAGGGAGCTTTTATATCTCTTGTGCCATCAGTGTCCTCCTACTACAGACTCGAGTCCAGTTTTTTTTTTTCTCCTTATATAACCTTACTTTCTAAATGTTATATTTAGAATTGAAACGGAAATTTGAACAGTGTTGAACATCAGATGTACTGAATCAGTGTTTAAATCAGAAGTTTTTATTTCCATCTAAGGTTTTGACAACCAGTGCAATTACATCTGGAGCATTAAACCTGGGTTCTTATTTATACTGATTAATCAACATTAAAACTAAAAAATATATATGTTTTTCCTTCAGTCACATTTGTTAAAAAACACTATTATCACATTTTGATGTTAGTTTTACGGACAACGTTATGGTCTAAAATTCAACTTACTTGTCACCAGGAAGTCTGTACAAATCAACCAGTCCTTTGAGGTGTTTGGAAAACTCTTCAAAGTTCTTTTCTCTGATGACAAAATGTGAATTATTTAAATATTTATTATTGGTGCATAAAACATTGCCCATAACAAAAGTGAGAAATCTTGAATGAGTGTTTATATTGTAGGGCTAAGGCTGAAAATGTGCTTTTTCTACTAACCTTAGATGCTGAATCAGCTCAAAGCAACTCTGTGAACAACAATTCAAGACAAAAAATATTTAATAATAAAAATTTTCATGCAAGTTGTTGCATAGAAAACTCAAATTCATCCTTTTTTATTTTAGAGAGAGAAAGACCTAAAGCAAATCTATAGCTGCAGAGCACAAAATATCCAGTCATAATCATTCAGCAAGTGTTTCTTCCAGTAAAAGAGCTCAAATAAACTGACCGTTGGGTTTTCGCCCTGATGTGCAACCTTCACATCCACAAGCTGGCCGCTGCTGTCCAGCTGCACCTCTACGTAAAACATGTCAGATGTGATGTAGCACTCTGTTCCCGATGGGCTGAGGTGAGAGCCCAACCTGCACACAAAACAAAAAGAGTCATAAAGAATCCAACTGAAAACATCTCAACCTATTTACTCATTCTTACGTTCAAAACAAGTACTAGCTGAACTTGCAGACGTCTCATACTTACATGTTTTGTCGAGCTATGGACTCAAGACGATCCGTCATGGAGGACAGAGAGGAGACTGAAAAAGAATATCGGAAAACTTACAATATGACTATATCAGAAATGCCATTATATAATAAAAATCAAAGTAAATACAAGTCAAGACAATTTTCTAGCCTTGATTTTATTTCACTCTAAACTGTTTGACTGATCTGTTAATGAGTTAATTTTACTTAAAAAAACAAAAGACAATATCTATATTATGGACCAACATCCTCACCTTTTAGTGCTCTCTGCAGGATCTCCAAGCAATTGAGCAAAATCTGGTGACCTGCAGTATTCATCACACGTTTCTCCTGGGACACAACATGAAGAAGGGGTGAGAAATATGACAGACCAGAAAGAAAGTGTCTGATGTTCAGGGTTTGATGATCGAGTTTGGTCTTTTACAGGTTAAGTCACTGTAACTGGTCCCACCTTCAATGTCACCACTGCAATTATGTTACTACAGCAAAAATAATAGTGTAGATAAATATGCAGAGTATATTACTCTTGTCCATGTTAAATAACACTACTGCAGAATTAATTATTTTAAATGTTATTTAGGATTACTTGTTAAAATTCTCATAAAAAATACTTCAGAAACTTGGACAAGTCACAATTTAACACAGTTTTTCAATAATGTGTATTTGGTGCCATTGTTGTAGCACAGTTATGCCACAAGGGGGAGCCTCTATCCATATAATAGAAATTACAGGGTAAACAACAGCAGAGTGAAGTATGAGACTTTATCAAAGTCCATGCTCAATAATCCAGGTATAAAATCCAACATTTTTCAGTCAGGTCATCTGGACAGTTTTTTTCTTTGTGCTGAAACATTTCGCCTTCGATCCGGAAGGCTTCATCAGTCAAGGAAACACACAACAAAACTGATTCTTCCTCCAAAAGCTTACTCCAAAGTGGAACAAACCAGTTCCAAACCAACAAACCAAACTTTTGGAGGAAGAATCAGTTTTGTTGTGTGTTTCCTTGACTGATGA